CTGAGTCAATTGGTTTAGATCTGCACTGCACTATTTGATTTTATTGGAATTAGGGCTCTGTATTACGAGTCCATTGATTGTGAGGTCTCGATTTTCACTGAGTTCACATGCCACTGCCATTAGAGAGAGAGATCAAGGGTTTTTTGAAATTGAGAATCTTCTCAATTTATAATATTCTCAATTTTAATTATGAAAAAAATTAAGAAATTTCTCAAAATTGATAATTATAAATTTCTTAGTTTTGATAATATTCTCAATTCATGCTAGAAAAAAAATTGAGAAATTTCTTAGTTTTGATAATTATAAATTGAAAACATTCTCAGTTTTGAAATTGAGAACATTCTCAGTTTTGGGATTAAAGGGCAAAACGTCTTTTTACTTGTAAATAGGACTTATTGGTTCAAAAACTTTTTGACAGGACCTAAGCTACCACCAAATATGTAGATAGGACTTTTAGGTAATTAATCCATTAAACTACTAGGAATACATATATATATATATATATATAATTCCAAGTCTGAAAGTAAGCTACGAATAAATCAAGGATTTGATCAAACAAATCCCTTGAATTATGAAATGGTTGGTTAATTCCTTAATCATAGTTAATTACAAACAGAAATGAATCTTACAAAAAATCAATGAGAGGAAAAAACAAAAAAAAACGTATATATAGTTTTTATTAGCTCACATGCACTCCCAGTCCATCCAAGTCCAGCGTGCGTGCGTATATATATATATATATATATATGGATTTTACATATGGCCCAAAGCTTACATAGTCCCCCCTACATCCTTGACCCTTACCCAATAACAAAAGTTTACATATAAAAAGTGTAAGAAAACTAATAAGAAATCAATGTGGGACATGGAACAAGACGAAAATTTTGAAGCACTTCCAACAAAACCAACTGAAAAGCAACAACAATAAGAAAACAAGTAGAGCGGTAAAACAGCAAGAAGACCACCCCCTGCTACCAATTTTATAATGCAAATCTGATATGCCTCAAATTAGAAACCAAGTCATGCATTGAATAGTCTATCTTGACCAAGTTTTGCTTTGCCCATAAGGCTACCTTCACCCTCTCCTTTAGGTCATCAAAGTTTAGTTGAGCATTATTAAATAGGCACTCATTCCTTAGCTTCCAAATAAACCAAAATACAGTCATTGGTACAACATTCCAAACTCCAGACACCTATTTCCTATGCTTGCCACTAGACCACCATTACAGAAGGCCCTTCATTGACTCAGGCATTACCCATTTCATATCCCACCAACTTAACATTTCAGACCAAAGCTTCCATACCAAAGGACAGAACAATAACACATGCTCTGTTGATTTAGACTCTGATCTGCAGAACACACACATAGTGTTGGCACTATCATTCAAAACACAAATCCTTTGCAAGAATGTTGAGTTTTTGACCTTGTCTAGCCAAGCTAGCCAACCCAAAAACTTCACTCTTGGAAGTGCTACATTCTTCCACAATCTTTTTGGAATTGATAATTCAGGCCCTTTTGTTGATTCCCACCAAATCTACAATGAAGCTATTGAGAACTACCTAGCTGAATAAGGAAGCGTACAGCAAGAACCTTTCTTATCTTGCTGAAGTGATTGTGTAGACTCTAACATAGCATATAATTTATGCTTCTCCTCCTCTTCCCATGCTAGCGGATTTCTTCTAAAATTCAATTGCCAAACACCTGAGCTTTCTCTTCTAAGGCACAATTGTTGCAATGATTCTTCTTTCTCAGTATATAAGAGGAATAATCTAGGGAATTTATCCCTAAAGCTTGTGTTGTTCATCCATTTATCAATCCAAAATTTAATTCTCCTCCCATCTCCTACTGAAATCTGATAGTTTCCCAAATAAAATTCCACTAAATTTTGATTGAGTCTACAATATTGAGCAAATCCTCTAAAGTATAGACACCAAATATGGTTGCGGTGGTGATGGAATCCAGATGCCTCCCTCCTTACCATATCTACTGCACACCACTTCCTTCCATAGTGCTTTATCTTCTCTCCCAAACCTCCACCACCACTTGAGAAACAAACAATCATTCACTTCACCTAAATCTCTCACCCTCAATCCTCTTTTTTCTTTTTTAATTTTTGGTCACTTCTTTCAGCTGACGAAGTGCACTTCTATGAAGCATGACTACTTCAAAAAGGGAGATGTATATGTATCAGATACTTATTCGATACTAATACTCCTTGGATACTCGCGCATACGTATTGGATACTTCTTAAAACTATCATATACTTCTTAATTAATTTTGGAGTATCAGATACTTAATTTTAAAGTATCGGATACTCGAAGTCACATATTACTTTTAATACTTTGTTTAGTTCTTTAAAAAGAGAAATATAGTGAGAGTTACAGTAATAAATTTTGTCAATATTAATATATCCTTATTGTCTCTCTTACTTCTCTCTTGCTTTCTCACTCTCTCACATTTCTTCGCTCTACTATTGTTCTTTTTTTGATGTTGGCATGTAAAGATGATATTTAATTTGCATTTGCTTTTAGTTTTGAATTTTTTTTTTTTGAATATTTGAAGACTCTTAATTTAATAAGAATCTCTCTCTTTATTTATTAATTTACTTTAGGTTTTATTTTCACGCATATTACATTATTAAAATTATAAAAATAATTTTTTTTATGAACATATTCTCGCCGTACTCGTATCTTACTTTTTCAAATTTTAGCGTATCGCTGCATCTATATCCCTGTATCGTCGTATCCCATAGGCGTATTCGCGCTTCCTAGGTGCACTTTCTTTTTAATTTCAGAGCTTCCTCACAAGAATGCAGCTTGTAGTTTGTCTATTGACTTAGCAACCCCTCTAGGCATCTTAAAAATAGAAAGGAAGTATGATGGTAAAGTTGTAAGGATTGACTTCTTCAAGGTGAGCCTAGCTACAAAAGATAAGAACTTTCTTTTCCATGTACTAGCTTCTTTTTTGATCTTGTCCACAACTGGTATCCAAGTGCTCTTCCTTCTTAGATTAGCCCCTAAAAGCAGGCCTAAGTACTTAAAGAGGCAATTTCTGTGTGAGGCAATTACTTTTGAATAATGCTATATGTACTAATTAGTTTATTAATTGATGATGTGGCATAATTTAAGAAATTTTTGTTATTTGTAATGTGATTAATGAGTGGGGTCAATAATAATATTATAATTAGTGTTGATACACTAGTTAGTACACTAATTAGTGCATGTAGGACCACCGATTACTTTTTTTGGCCAACTCTCAACACTAACTTTTGTTTCTTTTTTTTTATCAGTAAAATTCAATTATTAATTGTTAAATTAACACCTATGGGATTAGCTTCTCAACCCTTTGCAAAGTGACAAGTGTTTATCTCTTTAATTCAACTCCCTCTAGAGAGAGTTTTTGTTTTTTAATGCTGAATCTTCTTCTATTCGGCTATGTTTGGTTAATTGATTTAGGTAGAAATTTGAAAAATCGAAAGAAAAAAGTATGGGAAATGTATGTGAAATGTAGGTATGTTTCATTCATATTTCACTTACTTTTTTTTACCTTTCAAAATCACTTACCAAATTTATGAACAAAACACAACCTTCTTGATTTTTTTTTTTTTTTTTTTGGTGGCTCATAATTTCAAAAATATCATTCCCACTTTATTTATTATGAATTTCATATCAAAAAAAGTCACCACCACTTTACTCTTGATAAGATTTTTGAATAAATAATATGTTTGCATGCAAATTTTCTTCACTTTTTAATAAAGACAAATTACATTGATAGTCGCTACATTTTTTTACTAGTGTCATTTTAATCTTTAAAATTTCAAATGACTTAATTTTGTTCAATTCATAACGTTGTTAGGATTTTTGATAAAAAAAATTTTGGATAAATTACACTTTGCACTCCTGCACTTTATACCAAATCTCACTTTGGTCCCTACACATGAAATCATGACAATCAACCCCCTGCACTTATGGTCAAATTTCACTTTGGCCCCTACACATGAAATCGTGACAGCCAACCCCCTGCACTTTTAATCAAATCCCATTATGATCCATACACAAGTGTTAATGTCCTTCTTCTATAATTTCATTTTTAAATCTGTAACAAAATCCGATCATGTGACAACAATATAACTATGAAATGAGGATAAGAGAGAAAAATCATCTATGTTTTCCACCAATAAGCTTTATCGTACGTGATAAGCACATAAAAGTTATATAATACAATATATATATATATATATATGTTTGTATGGTAAAAATTAGGACGAAAAGGCAAAAAAGTAGAGTTTTTGAAATTAAAAAAAAATGCAACAAAAAATCAAAGAGAAAGAACGATGAATAGACATAAAACTGTGTTACTGTGAAAAATAGAGTTTTGTGATTTCAATTTATGCAAAACCCTAATTCATCTTCTTAATTGTTCCCAATTTGCGTTTTGTTTGAGCATAATACAATAATATTTTGATGTAAATTTTGGGATAAAGTGTGTATTGGTGAAAAATGTAAATGATTTTGTTTTCTTACCCTTATGTCATAGTCACATTCTTATCACATGATTAGACTCTGTTAAAGATTTAAATAATTGAGTAATAGAAATGGGACATTGACACTTATATAGGGACTAAAATGAGATTTAACCAAAAGTAGGGGGTTAATTGTCATGATTTCATATGTAGAGGTCAAAGTAAGATTTAGTGCAAAGTACAGGAATGTAAAGTGTAATTTATCCAATTTTTTTTATTAATTGATTGCATTTAAGTCACTAAATTGATCATATTTACAATTTTACTCGTAAAAATATGGCACATGTCCTTCATGTGTGCATTTGTTATTAAAAAAAAATGCTAACAATTGGAAGTAAATGGATCAATTTGAGAAAAATTAAAAATTCAAGATCAAAATTGATTCAATTAAAAAGAAAAAAAAAAAAAAAAAAAGTATAAAAGAACTAATAAATACGAAACTAAACGTGTTAACCTTGTTTTTGGTTACATACTCAGGTTGTGGGATGGTCATACTCCTTGCCTTTGTTATTATTATAATTTGGAGAGGGTGCAACAGAAGAAACAAACTTAGAAATTTCCAACAAAATGGAGGTTTCTTGTTAAAGCATCAAAAAATTAGGATCTTCAGTGAAAAGGAGCTTGAGAAGGCAACCGAAAAGTACGATAAGGGTCGACTTCTTGGCCAAGGAGGCTCTGGTGCAGTATACAAAGGAGTTTTAGCAGACGAGTCAGTAGTGGCAATAAAGAAGCCTAATGAATTCAAACACTTAATAATAAAGGAAGAATTTCAACATGAAATTAGTGTTGTCTCTCAGATCAATCATAAGAATGTGGTTAAGGTTTTAGGCTTGTGTCTAGAGACAAAATTCCCATTACTCATTTATGAGTTCATCTCCAATGGATCACTCTTCGATCACCTCTATGTCAAGCGCTCTGCGATTCTAAAATCATGGGTAAATCGTCTGAGAATTGCTGCCGAGACATCACTAGCGCTCGATTATCTTCACTCACTTGCTGACCCACCAATCATCCATAGAGATGTCAAGTCCACCAACATACTTCTTGATGAAAATTTCACGGCAAAAGTTTCTGATTTCGGAGCTTCTGTGTTGATTCCATCGGGTGAAAGTGCTGTTGTGACTAAAGTACAAGGAACTCGTGGGTACTTGGACCCGGAGTACTTGATTACAGGTTTATTAACTGTAAAGAGTGACGTTTACAGCTTCGGGGTTGTTCTTATGGAGCTCTTAACAGGACAGAAGCCAATTTGTCCTCATAATTCTGAAGAAAATGGGCACTTTATTCAGTATTTCATTTCTTCGGTGGAACAGAAAAGATTCTCGCAGGTTTTGATAAACTTTGAGGAAGTTGTTGAAGCAAGGGAAACTGAGCAAATTGAAGCGATGGCTGAACTTGCCGTGAAATGTCTCCACAGGTACGGCACTGAGCGGCCTACAATGAAGGAGGTGGCTGAGCAACTCGTTGGATTGAAGAAATGGCATGAGATCTTTCATGCTCGGGAAGACAATGATGATGAAGAGAGGGAGGGCATGTTGGGTCACTCGATCAACACAAACGATGAAGTGTTTCATTCAATGTCGGAAAGCCATTACATGACTGCACTTAATATTGGATTTTCGTGAAACAGCACATGCTTGAAAGCGAGGTCGTTTGGTGGTAGCTCTACGAGTTTGTGCTCTATCAATATATTTCTTCTGTTGTTGAATACTTTTATCTTTAAAGTCTGTGCTATATATGTTCTAGGGTGTTAATTATTGTTCAGTCCTTTTTTCATTTTTTTTATTTGTCTTTTTCTCGTGCTCTCTGTGGGATTCTGGTGTTGCATTTGATAGGTTTTGGTGTATATGCCAATCAAATTAGAATATATTTTTTAAGTCTTGACGCTTGTTTTGCCTTAAACTTCCTTTTCTATTGATATATATATATTGAAAATTTGGTATTCGGTTTAATAAATTGACTATTTTTTTTTTAAAGTCTTGATGCTTGTTTTGCCTTAACTTCCTCTGCTTTTTTTTTTTTTTTTCTGATAATTCAGTATAGGTTTTGGTGTATGTGCTAATCTAGTTAGAAATTTTTTTTGGCCTTAAACTGCCCACTAATGGGGACCATTAAAGCTGGGACAAAATTTTATATGAACTGTCTCCAAGAAGTTGTTTACTCCAAGAACTTATTTACGTGTGCCTCTTTGTACTCTATTTGTATCATATTTTTTTGTGATTTATATATGTTTATGTTTTAAACAAGTCAATGGATCTATTGACGAAGGTCAATGTATAAGGTCGTGCTGTTATGGTTTCTCTATTGTAATTTATTTGGAACAGATTTCTCCAGCCACTTTGTCTATGAAAATATTGAAGTGTAACTGGCTAATAAAAGTCATAAAAGTTAAGGATAAACACGTTTTTAATACTACTTACTAGATTTGAGTACGTATAAAAATAGATGAAAATAAATAACCTCTCTGAAGTAATAGAATATGTAAAATTGCTTTTTGTTTTTTTTCGTTTTTTGTTTGTTTTTTGGTATCTTTACATGTTTCATGCCATTCAAATCATCACACCCACAGCGAAGTTGTCACCAAACCAATTATCATCTCCCCAAAAATTTAAATTTAGCAAATATTCAATAATTACAAATCAATTTTAACATATTAACAACAATTTCAATTAATTTATAGTTACAAGACAATATTATCAATGATTTCAATTCTCTGTTTGAAGAAACTTTGGGTCCAAAATAGAGCACAGCATGTTGAGTTTGACATACTAGTGAACCCAAAAATATAACATTTATTGATAACATTTTAGTACACAAAACACTTGCATACAGTCACACACTAATACACTTTACTTATCCACTCACACATACATTCAAGCACTAAAACTTTGTGTCTTCCTCACACAAGATCTTGGGACTCCTCACACTAGATCACTCTTATAGTACTTGACCACTTACTTTGGACTCACTCCTCTTTCACTCAATAGTTCAATTGTCCAATACCTAGTACATCCGCATATCTCATATTTATACTAGTTGAAGAATTTTCTAGAATATACTCATATTTTCGCTACACTCTACAACAATCTGGATTACTCTAGTACATATTAGAGCTTTCTACACTTCTCTAAAATATTCTAGAACCTTCTAGAACTTTCTAGATTTCTCCAAACTTCTCGAATGTTTCGAAACCTTCTAGGATGTTCTAGAATCTTCTAGATTTCTCTAGGTCTTTCTAGAATCTTCTAGATCTTTCCGAAGTAATCTAGATTAATGTGAAAACTTCTAGAATATTTTAGAGAGAAGATTCTAGAAAGTGAGGAGAGTTACTGATGACTCTCAACACTCACCCTAAGCACTAACTCTCATTTCTGGATTATGTAACCATGTTACATTGTTTCAAAAACTGTTCATGAGTATATTTGCAACCTGGTCCTCTGCCACGATAAACTTTGTCTCCATCTCTTCCAATATTGACTTCTCTCTTTTGGAGTGATTTATTCTTCCATGGAACACTACGTCCTTGGCCAGCTATATAGGATTCTCCTCCTCCAATTTAGATAGCGAGTGCCACGTTTGAATCTGTGTGATGCATCAATATCTTCTTTTATTGTCTTCTTCCAATTGAATCCTTTTATAGTTTCCTGAGATGTTATTGGTTCCTTTATACTATCTTTCTTAGTAAAGGTTGCATCAACGTACTTTGGATTGGGTTGACATTGCCTTGCAGATATTAGTTCCTGCAACTCTATCACTTCTTCTACTTCTTTTTCTTCTTTTGTTTGCTCTCCTAACTTCTCTGGTAGATGAGCTTCTAGATCTTTAACTCCTGAAGATTGAGACTCAACTGCAAGAACTGACTCATTTGTGATTAAGTATGCATCTACTTCTTTGATAATTGCGTTGCATTGCTCCTGTATGCCTTTATCAAAATCTATCTCCTCTTCTGAATCTGCTTCAGTGACCATGAACATTGTAAAGATGCTTCAAAATCCCATTCTTCTTCAAATTCTGGCACTTCTTCTAAGTGCCCTGGTTCCACAGTCTCAAACATTGCACATAAAGCTTGGAAATTCCATTCTTCTTCACTCTTATCTTGGTAACCGTTAAATGTTACCATATTACTGTCAATTGGTCTTCTTTTAAATCGACAATCTTTTACGTGGTGGCCAAGCTTGCCACATTTGAAGCACTCTATGTTGCGTTATCCAATTCTAGTAGCTCTTCAATCATTTTAATCATGCCAAACTCTCCATCATTGATGACTTCAATCATCTTGTAATTGTTCATCTTCTTCTTTCTTCGATCTTTCATATTTTTGTCACTTCGGTCCATCTCTTCTCGTGCTACTGAATAATGCTTCTTCTCCACTTTCATTTTTCAATGTGACACCAGCCATTTGATTTGCTAGAGTTTCTTGATTTTCCAATAGACTTTCGAGCTCGAACAGTAATGGTTAAGTAGACCATCCTCTAATAGTAGCCATAAACCCACTATACTCGGGTCTTAAACCTTGAGTAATAATGCACCTCATTCTTGACTCGTAAATTTTTGACTCGGGATCAAGTTATGAAATTTCATTTCAAAGAGTCTTTACCTTGAGAAAATATTAGCTGATAGTCATTGATACTTATGTCACCGTTGCAAGCTCGTTCTCTAGATACTGAAGTCATGCATCGTTCGTCTTTGAAAATAACGTGTCCCAAATTGGTTTTGGAGTAGTAGCCTCCTAAACATACTCCAATAACTCTTTCTGAATAGTTGTCCTTAACGCAAACATCATTTTTCTAGCCTTGATCTTCAACTTTCGCAAGGCCTCTGTATTTTCTTCTTCAGGTGACATAGTTTCCCTGCCGTCAACAATCTCCCATAGATCTAGTCCATGAAGATATGCCTCGATGCTGCAGACACCCCATTTTGACTGGCCTTAAAGACTTGGGAACTTAATGAAACATTACGGTATGCAATCGTCCAAATCCTTAGCAAAAGAATTTGGTTTTGAGCTTCAAATCCAAACCTTGCACCCCAATTTCACCAAAGAAGAAAACCGTTTTTAGCCAGACCACTCAGAAAGCAGCAGGCCAACAGATGGCTGACGGGCCACTTTCTTGGGCCAGTTGTAATTCTTATTGACCGGCCGGCCATATTCAATGCAGCAGATATTTATGCAACAGTAGGTTTCTCACATGCACGAGTTGATGGCCACCTGTCCTTTTTGAAGATATATACATTCAAAACGCTCCAAAATCTATAAATATAACCCTCCCCCTCAGGTTTTGGGGTTGAGAAAATTTTCTAAGAGCTTAAGTTAGGCAATCCAAACACCTCTCTATCCTTTGAAATATAGATAAACTATAGATACACCATTGAAGCTCAAACTTGAAGCTTTTTGCAAAAGTATTGAACCTTATTTTTAAACACTTGAAGTCGTTTGGCATCAAGCTTGCTAACTAAGAACATACCTCTCTTTTCAAGATGCATCGTTCGTCTTTGAAAATAACGTGTCCCAAATTGGTTTTGGAGTAGTAGCCTCCTAAACATACTCCAATAACTCTTTCTGAATAGTTGTCCTTAACGCAAACATCATTTTTCTAGCCTTGATCTTCAACTTTCGCAAGGCCTCTGTATTTTCTTCTTCAGGTGACATAGTTTCCCTGCCGTCAACAATCTCCCATAGATCTAGTCCATGAAGATATGCCTCGATGCTGCAGACACCCCATTTTGACTGGCCTTAAAGACTTGGGAACTTAATGAAACATTACGGTATGCAATCGTCCAAATCCTTAGCAAAAGAATTTGGTTTTGAGCTTCAAATCCAAACCTTGCACCCCAATTTCACCAAAGAAGAAAACCATTTTTAGCCAGACCACTCAGAAAGCAGTAGGCCAACAGATGGCTGACGGGCCACTTTCTTGGGCCAGTTGTAATTCTTATTGACCGGCCGGCCATATTCAGTGCAGCAGATATTTATGCAACAGTAGGTTTCTCACATGCACGAGTTGATGGCCACCTATCCTTTTTGAAGATATATACATTCAAAACGCTCCAAAATCTATAAATATAGCCCTCCCCCTCAGGTTTTGGGGTTGAGAAAATTTTCTAAGAGCTTAAGTTAGGCAATCCAAACACCTCTCTATCCTTTCAAATATAGATAAACTATAGATACACCATTGAAGCTCAAACTTGAAGCTTTTTGCAAAAGTATTGAACCTTATTTTTAAACACTTGAAGTCGTTTGGCATCAAGCTTGCTAACTAAGAACATACCTCTCTTTTCAAGTGATATAATTTTGCAACTTCCTCTTTGCTTTTCTTTCACTCTCTTCCTCTCTTTTTCTTATTTTACACCCTGTTTTTGAGCTCTTTTAAGGGCTAAAATATGTGATTACAAGTTTCAAAAGGTGGAGGGGTTAACCACATTTCCTTAGGCTTTGAATACTTAGCTTGTTCTTTACATTTGTTCTTTACTTTCTCCTGATTTTTCAACACTGTTTTGGTGTTTTTTGGGACTGTTTAATGCTTATCTTTGATTATGCCTTGAATATCATAGGTTGTATTGTTGTAAGTCCTCATGGATCATCCGTTTGAGTTGATTGCATTACTTTAGTTCCTGTAACTTTCTTTATGTCTCTTGGAACCTTGTGGTTGTAAGAGGGTTAAAACTTTAGCCACCTCTCCACAAGTTTGATTAACTAGCTATAAATTTCTAGCTTTCTTACGTATATTGGAACCTTGTGGTTATGCGAGGGTTAAAACTTTAGCCACCTCTCTACAAGTTCGATTAACTAGCTAGAAATCTCATACTTTCTTGAAGCTACGTAGTAGCTTCCGCATCAAAAGTGTTGAAAACTCTCTTCTCAATCATCTATTGAAACATAGAAATGGATGTTTCATCCTTATTCCATGAGTAAAAAGAAGAGTTTACAACAATTTTTGAGTGA